TTTTTTTTTTTTTTGAGACAGAGTTTCACTCTTGTTACCCAGGCTGGAGTGCAATGGCTCGATTTCGGCTCACCGCAACCTCCGCCTCCTGGGTTCAGGCAATTCTCCTGCCTCAGCCTCCTGAGTAGCTGGGATTACAGGCACGTGCCACCATGCCCAGCTAATGTTTTGTAGTTTTAGTAGAGACGGGGTTTCACCGTGTTGACCAGGATGGTCTCGATCTCTTGACCTTGTGATCCACCTGCCTCGGCCTCCCAAAGTGCTGGGATTACAGGCGTGAGCCACCGCGCCCGGCCTTATTATTATTTTTATTCAAACTTTTACCTTAATAATTTTCATTGGAAATGTCTGTATCTTTAACATTAAAAAATAAATTTTTGCTTTCTTTTTTTTTTTTGATGGAAAAGTCGTAAGTTTATTTCAGTTGGAAATTCCAGTGTTAGGCTTATGAAGCCTGGGGGTGAATGGAGCTGTTTGGAGCAAGTTCACACCATTTAATGGCAATGTGGAGTTCTCAGCTCTACACCAAATCCCCAATACCGCTTCCAGAAAAGATCATTCTGCCTCCTTCTCAAACCCGCCGGAACAGAATCACCAAAGCATTCTTGTCTCTTAATTTCTTTCTTTTCTTTTTTCTTCTCTTTTCTCTCCTCTCCTCTCCTCTCCTCTCTCCCCTCTCCTCTCCTCTCCTTGCAACCAGCCCTGACATGCCACCATGGAGAATGTAATGGTTCATTTGGTCCATTTCCTCTCTGCCTATATTGAGATATCCTGTTGCCTGGATTACGTCTTCCTGTTTCTAGGTTTATTCTCTTAGTCTGGTGCACCACGTCCTCTAGTAGTTTCTGCTTTCTGTGGTGTAAATAATCCCACCATGACCAACCTTGAGCTTCTAATACGACGTTTCTAACGTGGATTTGGGAAGAGATGTACATATTTGGCTCCCGAGCTGGTACTAGCCAGTTCCAGCACATTATCCAACCGCAGCCGCAGCGGTCGAACCCAGCTCCGCCTCTTCCTGGGGGCGTCCCATTGTGCCCCGTGCAAGGCTCTAAAGGTGGCCAGGTGCCTCCTGCCTTTCCGCGCCCCGACCCCGACCTCCTCCAATATTCCTTTCTAATTGTGATTGACAATAAGTGTCCTTAAATTTTATGTTAGAGGGTAGAAAAGTAATGGATGATTCATTTTCTCATGGAAACCAAAATTCAGATATTTAGCAGCTGTGGCTAATTGTGATGGGTGGCTAGAGGAGGTTGTAGTATTTTGTTGTTTTACTTTTTCATTAATTTGTGCTCATTGCAAAAAAAATAAAGTGTGGAGGCCGGGCGCGGTGGCTCAAGCCTGTAATCCCAGCACTTTGGGAGGCCGAGGCGGGTGGATCACGAG